TTTGTGACATTGATGCATAATTTGTGACATTGATACATAATTTGTGACATTTATGCATAATTTGTGACATTGATGCATAATTTGTAATTTGTGACATTGATGCGTAATTTGTGACATTGATGCATAATTTGTGACATTGATGCATAATTTGTGACATTGATGCATAATTTGTGACATTGATGTATAATTTGTAACATTGATGCATAATTTGTGACATTGATGCATAATTTGTGACATTGATGCATAATTTGTGACATTGATGCATAATTTGTGACATTGATGTGTACTTTGTGACATTGATACATAATTTGTGACATTGATGCATAATTTGTGACATTGATGCATAATTTGTGACATTGATGTGTACTTTGTGACATTGATGCATAATTTGTGACATTGATGCATAATTTGTGACATTGATGCGTAATTTGTGACATTGATGTGTACTTTGTGACATTGATGCATAATTTGTGACATTGATGCATATTTTATGTATAATTTAGGAGCGACTGGTAACCATGTATTTACATCCATGTACCCTGCTGAGAGTGAAGATTTTGCAGGATCAGATCTGGCTAAGTTAGATTTATGGGTCTTTGATGAAGTTCAGGTATGTATAAAATGACTTGATAACCATGGAAATGCTCTGTTGGATTTGTAATTTATTTCAAATCCTTAGTGAAATTTAGTGAAAATACTGTTTTCAACTTGTTTGCATTAAAGTTATGACAAATGTGAATCAAATTTATCATTGTTTTATTTAAAGAATTTCATACAAAGCGCAAGACAGAATCAGACGCTATTGAATAAGTTGAAATCAGACAAGGTGGTACTGTTTCTACATTTACTTGGCCTTGATACGAATGGTCACGCTCACAAACCGTACTCAGATGAATATTTAGAGAACATCAAAGTTGTGGACAGTGGTGTGGAGAAAACTGTGAAACTCTTAGAGGAATTCTTCGCTGATGGTCAAACTGCATATGTATTTACCGCTGACCATGGCATGACAAACTGGGGTAAGTAGTAGACTGAAATTTCTATCACATGTAAACGCTATATTGTACATGTACTTATTAATCAAAATTATGTTGGTTTATTTTTTCATGATTATATTCTTATGTTCATGGAGAATATCACTGTATCCATCATATCATTGGACGTCGTCGTTTACTAGAAATGTAGTATACCCTCTAACATCCTGAATAAGAAAGTATTTAATTGTGTTTCATTTCAGGGTCTCATGGTGCAGGCCATCCAAGTGAGACTCTTACTCCACTGCTGTCATGGGGTGCTGGAGTTAATAAAGCACAACAACCAAACTCAGATGATTATCAGGATGGCTTCCAGCAAGGTACAGTGGAAAGTTTGTTGTTACGTCAGTACTTAGAACTGATCTTCAAGAACTTGTGTTAACATGTGTGTCTATTTGCTTCACAGTGGTTACATATTTGAACACCACACTTTATAGAAGAAATTCCTGAAATATTCCCTGTAACTGTGAAAAACTTGGGCCACTCGAACTAATTTTTAAATTTTGAAATCGCTGGTACTGTATTTGATATATTAGTAGTGCGTATGATTAACGAGGGGTTTCTATGGTCAATAATTAATATTTTAATGATTCTGTTTCCAATGATCCAAATTTTGGTTTATATTCACTTCTATTTGAGATGCATGCTTCTAATATATCAAATACGATATTGTTTCCTTTGAAATTTGGTTAAAGTTTTTGTATTTATTTTATTAGATGGAATTTTTCACTTTGAAAAATATCAAGAATCTGTAATGCTTTTAACGTCCATCCTTAGGACCTGTGGAGAATTAATAACTTGCGAACAACAAATATTGTCATCCAAACAAAATCGAAAGATTTCATTTAATCTTCATTAATGGGACATGACACATGTGGCCATTATGTGTCACACTAATTTAGTTTCTGGGTGCTTCTACCAGTTCAAAAATGGGTAGAATTTATCTGTAATTTGCAAACACATTTGGAGACACTCATTACATTCATCGTCATATGTATTCATTCTCGCCATTTCACATGTAAACAAATACAGTGCAATTTTTATGCACAGTAATTGAAATCAACTTTGACACCTTAAATTAAGAGATTATGTTTCTCTTGCATATTAAATTATTCACATCCCCTAAGCATGTTTGTATGTGTTCCGCTTAAAATATGATTTGTTGAATAAATAATGTTCAGACTTTTATGATAGTTTACATATTTACACTTGCACTATTTGTTTTATTTACATCACAGAATGGAAACTATCACATGTGAAGAGGTGTGACGTGAATCAGGCTGACATTGCCCCACTCATGTCATCTTTGATAGGAATTGCGTATCCTTTGAACTCTGTTGGTATTCTGCCTTTGGATTACATCAACAACACGGATCAGTATAAAGCTGAAAACCTTCTGACTAATGCGTTACAGTTGGTAGCACAGTATGAGGTAGGTTAATAAACTCAGGTTGAGGGCGCTATACTTTTATGTTGTGTAAAGATCAAAATAAAATATTCATTTAGGTAAATTTGTAAAAAAAAGCAGGTTTCAAAGATAGAGTATATACTTCTTATGCTAAAAATCATCAAAATCAATCATTTTCTGGCTGTTTACAGATAGATTTTGTTCAAACCTTGTATATACGTTAGACATTATAGGACCTTGATGCACATCATTTTGTTTTACGATCTGATACATCATATCATAGATATACGGATATATTGGTTTGGCGATCCTTTTCAAAGTGGCCAAATAGTGGCTATTTTTGTGCTAAAAAAATCATCAAATATTAAGCATTTCTGGCATTTATGGATGGATTTTGTTCAAACATATAACATACATTAGACATGACAGGTTCCTGATGCATGTCATTTTATTTTTCAGATTGGATTCAAAATGGCTGACTGGTGGCCATTTTGTTTTAATGATTGGGCTTCTCGAGCCATATCTTTTAAATGCTTTGACTGATTATATTCAAATTTTATATATTCGTCATACATCATGGTATATATATATAGATGTATTCAAAATGGCTGATTTTGAATGCTGTTCCAGAGCAATATCTCTCAATATGGACAAGTACTTGTTTGACGATCTTAAATTTGATGACTAACTGGGACTGTGCCATGCATGGCTTGTTTATTATTATATATCTCCCTGGAAACAATAGAATTTACAAAAGTCATGTTCACAATCCTCTGGTTGAGGATCAACCAATATTCTGGTTGATAGATACTTGCGATGCCTTTGATGCATACATTGCAATATTTTTGTGGTAGCTACTTATAGAACTGAAATCAGTAGAATTTACTGTTCTGTAAGAAACTTTATCTGCAATCATTTAAATGTTCATATTTGGGAGGGGGAGGTAAACTACATCACCAACATAGTCATGAAGGTCAATGATAGTCCAGTCAAAACTTGTTATTATTATTAAATATTTTATTGCAGGATATAAAGTGAAAAGTTCGTACATCCTATATTTAAAAAAAACAAAACAACAACAAAGATAATAAATAAAAACAAACAAAGAAAAAAAATGAGTCTTTGTCTACAGTGGATGCAGAAATAGAATCCTCTTACTGAGGCAAAACTTTTTTTGTTGGCATTTAGACTGTTATTTCTCATTTATTAAATGGTTATTACAAGAATACCTTAAAGTATACATTCAGGCAGCATGGGATGGCATTGACCTCTACTATGCGATTTTTGATATGATGGCCATACTACCTTGATTTCATCATTTGTGATAATCTCATTACATTAAAAAATGTATGTATATGTGGAGTTATGATGACAGTGTTCCTTTACAAATTTGACATTAGATTTAATTCTAATTGTAAATTTAAATGATGAGATTAAAGCAATTTTATTCTATTTTATTTTTGACCTCATTATTTTGTTCACTTCTAGAAAAAGGAGTCCCTAATGAAAGCTACCACATTATCTGTGTTTTTCACACCATTTAAGCTGTTGAAGTCAAGCAGAAAAGTGGATATCTTAAGACAAATACGAACCCTTATGAGCAAAGAAGACTATCAGGCCTCTGTAAGTAGTTTT